TAAACAAAACACACAAAAAGAACATAATGATGCAGATGAACCCCAATGCAAAAATATCCAGAAGCAACGTGCAATCTTCTTTGGTCATTTTGACACCCAAGATGAACACCACATCTCCGGCAGGCAGCTATCAATCACTTTCAAGAAAACTGAAGTCCCCTGTCAGTGACTTGATTTGAAGACTCCCTTGCAGGAAGGTTGAGGACACAAAGGACTAGATTACGAAGGGAAGGGAAGAAGCTTCTTGGTATAAACTAGAGGGCAAAATATGTCACAAAGGACACAAAGATGGCTTTTTGCAAGCGCAGTCTAGGTAACCGCAGCTCAACAGAGACAACAGGATTTAGCCTCGTTGCTGAGGGGAATGCTCACAATCGCTCGTGTCATTGTCACGTAAGTTCATATCGAAAGACTCTCAAAACCGGAAATTTGAAAAATGATGAATTAGATTTTGCCATCCTGCTGGCCAGAAGAGATGGTGAAGCAAGTACCAACCTAAAGCTTCCCCACTCTGAATCGCTACTACTATTACTGAAGGCATGCACTATCACTCAGTTATTCCTAGTAATCCCGAGAGAAATCTTGAGAGAGGATGGTACCTTTGTGCAAAGCTGCAAACAGCGGGCCGCCGATGCAACAACAGTGACGTCAGAGTCAGCAAGCCCCTTTTCCAGCACAGCGAGGTGCGCTCGAGGGATCTGGCTGGATCCACACTCGGAGTGGCAGTGCTGCAGCGCAATGAGTGCAGCTGTTCGTACTGCAGAGCTGCTTACGACAGCAAGAAAAGTGAGTGGGGATGAGAGATCATAGGAGCAGACAACACCAGCCACTACTTAAAGTACATATTTCATGTTTCACAGGCACTAGGTATCCAGTATACTTCCTTGAAGCATAGAACACAACAGCGTTCTTTCTTGCATAAAAAGACACTGCACAGGCTTTTAAGATTTTCATCTTCTAGTTTTTTGGATAATGCAGAGCAGTTGCTTTCAAATGAGGGTTTGTGGACCCTTTGGGCTCCCTGAAGATCTTCTTGGAATCTCTGAAGCCTTCAACCATCAGTCAAGCCAAACACTAAAACTTTTTTTTTTATTTTTTAATCAATGGTGATTGTCCTTTAAAACTATATAGACAAAACTATGTGCCCTGAGTTAGTAGGGCTGATTACTTTCTATTTCAAGGCTACAAAGTTGGCTCGCATGCGTTCAGTTTCCTTCATTTACCCTTTTCTCATTGCAATCGTTCAATACAACGCCCTCTCCCCAACAGATGGGGTCCCTCATCACTTCCGCCCAATCAAGGGCGGTCCCCGAAACATGATGTGGAGAATGGCAAGGATGTTTAATAGGTGGTGCTGGGAAGTATAGGGGACTAAGGAATTTATACTTTGGTTTACAGTGGGCACTCCAATCTCGTTTACATTTCTGGTTGGAATTTCAGAATGCTGGCACTGACTTAGAAGCCTCTACTGCTGCGGATTGCATGCTTTGCTCGTTTGCAAAGAAAACATTGTCATTGTGATGTTTTCATGTTTATTCTTTGTATTCCGGTAAATGATTGACTATATCAGGAGAAACCATTTCAATTTACTGTCCTGCAGAAAGCCATTTTTCAATGCATAGTAAAATGGTAAGCATAAATTAATGGGTCTATATCACATGAGCAAATGACCCTTTTGGCAAACAGCGGTCATTTGAACGACTCAATGTTTTAGCGAATAACTGGGGTGCATGTTAACCCGCCTCCCCGCCTGCAATCACACTGCTTTACAACGACAGTCTGCAGCAGCTCATTACAAAACTGTTAACCTTCCTGGCCCACCCCTGAACACCGCTTTGCGGCGGCCGACAATTCGCTAAAGTGTCTTACGATGAAAAGTAAGCGTTCGCTAAAACGTCAATCAACAAACTGAGTGCCACACTAAATTAATCAATCAGAAAATAAAAAGATAGTACTGCAATAGGGAGCAAGTCTATTGAACCCTGCTTGCTTAACACTAGGTGTAAATCCTCAAAGTCTTATTTTTATAGGCACTAGGAAAAAAAAATACCTGTGATGGCAACTGTTGATTGTTGGGCGAGTTGGTATTCTATGTGCGCATTGTAGTTGGTATTGTATGTATGTATTGTACCTCTGTCCTTGTCTCAAAGTGCAATTGTGTTTTCTTACCTATGATGTGAGGTTTTCTCCAAAACAAGAGAGTGCACAGAGCTTGCCAGTTCTCTGTGGATCAGCTTCGGTATTGCTGCCAGTGCCATCACAACGATCAGGGATACATTACTTGAAAGGTCCTGAATAGGCGTGAAGCAAGTTCTTTTTATAAGGGTGCACCAAAAGTGGTTAGAATCAAACAGTGCTGCTTCGTTCCTATCCTTTACAGTGCAGAGGGACCCACATGCTGTGATTCACCCAAGTACTGTAAAAGCTAGGATTGATGCAGCATATTAAGTGCTACACATACCCTCTGTATGCTGTTTATGAGGAGCAAGGTGAGCTCATGGTTTGGATGAAGGAAGACGGACGTAGCGAGGTACCCTAGAGAAAAAGTTTGCGTACATTGTCAAGCGTAACAGTAGTAAAGAGTTGCCCTCGTGCTCAATATGCCGCCAGACGCTCACCAAAACCAAGTCTATTCTGACGCAAATGTCTTACCAATTAATTTCTGCCTCAGGTTCCCTTGCTGAAGTAACTTGACAGCGTGCATGTAGGCAAATGGTGTAGGATGACCTAACATTTCGAAATACATTGCTTGTAGCAGGCAAGCTTCCATCCGCCCCTGTGGGTAGGAAACGAGAAGTATTCAGAAAGAGTAAAGCTATACGCACTCCGGAGTGCGCTTCGGACGGAAATGGCTATACGCACTCCGCTTTTCTCGTATAAAGAGAGTGGACACAACGAGTTTTCTAAGCGGTGCCATGGCGTAGGGGTTAAGGCCCGACCACACTAGCGTAAACGGCGCCACCGGGCGGCGCCGCCGGGCGGCACCGCCGTCCGGCGTCCCAACGCAAGGAGTCCACATTGGCCTCCGTTTTGCAGGCGTCACGTGACAGCACTGGTTCCCGCGATCGCGCCTCCCGTCGGATGTCCCGCTCTTTCGTCGTCTGCTCTTCGTTACATTCTTCCGTTCCGCACTCGCTGCCACACATGGTAGGAATCCATAATGACCTGGTGATCAGCGGGAATGTGATTATCCTAGCCTGTTGTTGATCTTGCGACGTCGCCGCGCTCTGAAGGGAAGGAGGCGCAGGTTTTGGGTCCGGCCGAGTTGGTTCTACCGAAACACCGCGGGACAGGACAGGTCTGGCGCGCCGCCGGGGCTTTGCTGCCGCGGCGGCGCGCCAGAGATGAAGGCTACTTTCGAAAGTGTCACCAAATTAACACGACATCCGTCACAACACAGACGACATGCAACAAGTGCCACGGAGAAACTCACTTGTAATTCCGAATTCCTCTCCTATAATTTCCCAGTGGTTGTTCTTAGCGTCCTTATCTAGGTAGTCTGGCTGCGTCTTGTCACATAAAAAGGGAAACAGTCGCACAGTTTCAAGGAACCGCTCCGTTGGGGAAGGCATCGGGGGAAAATAGGAAGAGCAGACGACGCGAAACACGTCCTTCGGAACGTGAAAGACGAGCCGAGGACCGGCTTGAGCGTTGCCATGGCATCGCGACGTCACTATCTACGCCACTTCCCATTGGCTCCTCTCTTCTGCGGCGTGCGGCGCCCGGCTTTGAACCGCGCACGGAGCGGTTGACTCTGCGGCGCCGTACGTCGCGCCGTTGAAGCCGAAAACTGGTTTGGGTCGGCAAACGGCAGCGCCGACCGCCGCGCCGCAGGCCTCCGCGACGCCAATGTGGTCGTGCCTTTAGGGTGTCCGCTTCACACGCAAGTGGACGCGGGTTCGATCCGCGGTGGGCCTACTTTTTTTTTTTTTTTTTTTTTCTCAAACATTTTGTTTTGTCGAGGCATTTGGCGATATTTACGACATTTCCTTTTTTGCGATGAACAGAAAAAAAAAAAAAATCGAATGTTGTCGAGAAACTTTGCAGAACTAAATGGTATGGACTCCCTTTCCGGAGGTGCGATCGGGGACAGCGGGGCTTGGATTGCCGGCTGGACGCCGCGAAGCGGCGTGTACTGGTTACGCTTTGTAATTAGCAGCCGATACTGTCGCCGCGAAGCGGCGTGAACGCAGGCGGGGGGCTGTGTTAACGAGCGCCCCAGTGATTCACGCGCCGTTCGAATTGGTGGCCCGAGCGGCATGATCTCTCGGAGGAGTGCGTATAGCCATTTCCGCGCGAAGCGCACTCCGGAGTGCGTATAGCTTTACTCATTCAGAAACATCACTACCGCCCTGTGCACCTGGAGAGCTTACATACCGACTTCGTGTATTCTTTCATATCCTTCTCCAAAGTGGACAGTCTTTTCACAATAAGCTCATCTTCGTCCTTGAAAGAAGGTAGGGGTTATGCAGTGTACAGGCTCCACTAGTGTAGCTGGAGCTCCCGAAGTAATGCGTAATGACAGAAGGACATCATAACAAAACCTTACTTCTTTCGAAGGTGCAGATGCAATCTCTGACAGTACTTCCTGTAAGTAGAAGTTTCCTCCAAGTATGTTTTTGCCCACATAAGTTTGCAGGGAATTTACTGTTTTTTCCACGATATTCGACATGGCTATTCTTTATCGTGCCAGGCTCATTATATTTTAGTTTGGCTCCCCCGAACCATCAAAAACGCGAACAACACCGACAAATTGAGCGCTGCCATTTTGATAGCTGTTGCCAGGAGCTTGCTAAAAGCCGCGGTTTTATTGGTATTTAAAAACAGTAAAAACTGAGATATTGTCTTTATATTACAAAAAAAGTATTAAAACACAAAATATTTATATTTTATGCCTAAAAATTGGAAATGGTAGCAGATAATTAAATATAAATAAAAATAACACTCCTTTTTAGGTCAAAGCTAGGTTGCTAGGTCGATCCAATCCAATCCAATCGGAAACCTGTCCGTTATTCAAGATGGCAGGTCGCGGAAGAGGTGGACGTGCGGCTTTTCCTGAAATCCGTCATCAGTTGAGAAGACCGAAAGATGACGTTCCCACACAGAACGAGAGCCACTCAGAAGTAGGCGACACCAAAAAGGAACAAGTACAGCCCCCGCTTTCTACGGTAACAGCCAATGGACGTTATGCGTCGATTAGTTGTTTTGTTTTTCTTTGTTGCGGTGATCTTTCGCCGGTTGACATGTGTGCTGTCAACCTAGAGACAAGGATGATTGCCAACAATGAACACTGTAAGATCAATGAATGTTTCCCGAATTATGCTTATATGCACATTTGAAATGTATTGCTCGCACTGACGCCTACAATAGTTGGGTCGATTTCGGTACCCGGAACCCGTGGTTGAGGAAAGTTCGACACCCGGGCGCGCAGTCCACTCGTCGCATGCACTGCGAGTTCGGCTTCGCTCACGTACAGACTCGTGGATCTCGCCTGTAAAAGAGCCTATGAGATGCAGCTTTGTTCGTATTCCGATCGTTCATGAGGGTGCAATGGAGACGAACCTTATGGTGAATTACGCTCGCAGATCTCGACCGCTCCAAAAGCGCTCCATTTGGAGCGCGCATATTCCGGTCGCAGATCTGGCTCGAGTTGGTCATCCTTCCCTAGTAGATCTCTGGCGGCGCCCGCTTCATGGAGAGCCTCCAACCCCGCCGAATTTGCTCCGCGGGATTTCATGGTGAATTCCACGGGTAGATCCGGAGCGCTTTCCAAAATCTGCGAAGGAGACAAAATTCCGCTCCGTGGGACCCGCTCCGAATCGACGAGGGAAAGATAAACTCGCATTGTCGGAGCGACCCCCCCCCCCCCCCCCCCCCTCCCCCTCGGCCGTTCAAAAAGGCCTCTGCTTGAACTTTGCAAGCCCACCAACGCCTCAGCTGACTGATCTTTCCGGTGACCAGTGGCAACTGTCACTGTTTAGCTGCAGAAATAACACGCAACACAGGCCGGGCAAAAATATCCTTACCGTGGAGCCCGTATCACAAATAACGAGGAAAACGTCCGCATTCGCCACCTTCACATACCTTTTCGCCGCCTCGAAGCGGCAGGGCACGCACAACGATCGCCATCAGTGGAGTTCAGATTGCTGGTAAGACTTGAATAAACACAAAGAGGTAACAAACTATCACATGCACGGTCGTTGCCTAATCTGTTCTTGCTTTATTGCATGCATGAAGAAAGGCCGGCGGCATGCAGTGTAAAAAGGTAAACAATCATTGGCTGGAGACTGAACAGGCGTTACCTTGTGTCTGCCTCCGGATTTTTTGTCATTCTTTTTCTCATCCTTCCTCTCACGATCACAGATGTCAGCGCTTACGATTTACCATGTTCCAGTCCCGGCTTTATATCCCTGATCTACTCGAGGTAGAACCGTTAGAGCCGTCACAATCCTGCATAAACAAACGACGCATCCAGACAAAACCAATTCGACAGCCTGATCAGCCTGACTGGTCCGGTGACCTCGCCAACCTCGCCGTGCATGCGCACTGTCGAGTTGAAGAGGAAATGACCTATGCGCTCTGTCAAGTTCCAGAAAAATCTGTGAAATCCCGCGGAGCAAGTTCAGCGGTGTTGGAGGCGCTTCATGGAGTGGGTGCTGCCAGAGATTTACGAACATAGGATCAGTCTTGGGCAGTAACTAGTTACTAGTAACGCGTTACCGGTAACTACTAGTTACTTTTTCTCGGTAACTTTTACCTATAATGTGTTTCTTTTTAATACTGGTAACTTGTTAACAGTACCACTGCTACTTTTTTTTATTGGGTAACTGTAACTGTTTAGGCTGTTACAGTTACTTTTTTTTACTATATAAATTAGAACCTACTGCTGCGGGCATAGTGAAATTCCCATCTTGAAGTATTTTCCCCAACACTCCTCGTTGACACACAAAAAAAAAAAAAATTGAACGAAAAGCGTGGCCACGCATTAAACAAACAAAGAATTAATTGTCTGGTTTAGCTTACAACCGAGAATTGACGATGGACGAGGCAGCACGCCCGTGGTGGTAGGGGCGGCAAACAATGTGTGTTTCACCGACTTCTGCTCACTCTTTTCTTGTGGGGACCATCTGCGGGTATCGGTGGTTGAGCGGAATATCTCGAGTACTCCGTCCGGGCTGTTTCCGAACCCCCTCCCGCTACCCCCCTCTCCCTTCCCCTTTGTCGGATATGTCCGTGCTGTCGTTTTTACACTCGGTCGCTCGCCATTTCCTCTTTCTTATTAGTTTTCAAGGAAGCTGTCCCCATATTGTGCAGAAAGCCGGCGCTTGTTTAACTTATTCATTCTCTTTGGAGCCGCTCGAGTAAACACAAAGGCAAGGTTCGAGTGTAATTGTCTTTTTCGTCGATAGCCTCAAGAAACACCCCAATGGAAGGACATTTTGTTGGGGAATCTATACAGTGCTACAGTTGAAGCGATTTCCCTTAAAGCATGTCTTAAGTGAGAGAGAGAGCTGTTTTTTGATGCGTGCGGTCTGGTCTTCCGCAGCTGGCGTTTCGGACACAGATGCCGCGGTGGTCGTCGTACACTCGTAGAGTGCCAGAAGGCCTCACCTTGTCTCCTTTCCCTTTATATTCTTTCGAAGCTGTTTGACCTGCTATGTTTAGGTCTGCTTCCGAATATATCCTATAAGGTAATTATGTGACCATCTGTGTCCTCATTCGTTTCGGAGTGAAAAAGGAACGAAAACGCTCACTGATGCGTGCCGATGGCAATTTTGAAAAACAGTTGATTCTAAGTTATAGCAATTATTGCAAAAAAGTTATGCACATCAAAATGCTGAAACGGCGAATGACACAAAAAAGAAACTTCCTTCGGGTTTAAATTTTTCTAATTTCTCAGTTTACCTTTCCTCTCTCTATAGTGTAACAAGTAAAACAATACTGTTTTGGTTTGTGATATATTGGGTCCAATTTTTGTACTGTAACAAGAAAGTAACGGCATTACTGCTTTTGCAGTAACTGTAACGTTACTTTTTGAAGCCGGTAACTGTAACAGAGTTACTTTTCCCAACGGCATTACTGCTTTTGCAGTAACTGTAACTGTAACGCATTACTTTTTGAAACCGGTAACTGTAACAGTTGCTTTTCCTCCCTAGGTAACTGTAACTGTAACACTGTTACTTTTTACTGGTAACGTGCCCATGACTGCATAGATGACCAACTCGAGCCAAATCTGCGAGCAGAATATGTGCGCTCGAAATGGAGCGCGTTTGGAGCACTCGAGATCTGTGAGCGAAATTCACCATCAGGGATCTTTGCGGAAGTTGACTGAGCACACTACGTCATTTCCTTTTTAACTCGACAGTGCACATGTCCGGCGAAGTTGCCGGACCGGTCGGGCCCAACGAGCTGTCGAGTTGGATCTGTTGGGATGGGTCGGTTGTTTACGCGGGATTGTGACGGCTCGAATGCTCGAACATAGATCAGGGATACAAGGCCGGGACTGAAGCGTAGTAAATCGTAAGCGCTGAAATCTGTGATTGTGAGAGGAAGAACGAGAAAAAGAACGACGGAAAATCCAGAGGCAGACACAAGGTTAGGCCTGTTCTTTCTGCAGCCAACGATTGTTTACCTTTTTACACTGCATGTCGCTGGCGTTTTCTCGTTCAATAAAGCAAGAACAGATTAGGCAACGACCGTGCAAGTGATGGTTTGTTACCTCTTTGTGTTTACTCAAGTCTTACCATCAACCTGAATTCCACCGATGGCGATCGCTGTGCATGGATGCCGCTTTGTGGTGGCCGAAAGGTATTTGACTTTGGCGAACGCGGACGTCTTTGTCATTATTTGTGATACGGGCTTCACGGTACGGACATTTTTGCCTGCCCTGTGTCGCATGCTATTTCTGCAGCTAAACAGTGACAGTTGTGACTGGTCGCCTGAAAGCTCAGTCAGCTGAGGCGTCGGTCGGCTTGTCAAGTCTAAACAGCGGCCATTTTGAATGGCCGACTGTTTCGGGCGAATCGGCGGGTCGCTCCAAAAATGCTCGTCGATTCGGAGCGGGTTTTACGGAGCGGAATATTGCCTCCATCGCGGATTTTGGAAAGCGCTTCGGATCTACCACTGGAATTCACCATTAGCTGATGCCTCCACACCTCTTCAAGCCTGGATCCTTGCTTATGCCGCTGTCATTTTGTGTTTGACGAGGGTTCGAGCGTCGGCGACGCCGGCAAAGTGTCTTGATGGAACTGACATATAGGGTAGTCAAGTCATGTCTCTGGCTTCCGAGATAGCGAAAATTTCTCGGCAAATTTTTGTTTATTTCAGTTAATGCCAGCTCTTCTAAGTCATTTTAGAAAGGAGTTTTACGCCGAAAAAATCAAATTGTTCATCTGAGTCATCTCTAGCGATATGTGTTCAATTGAACATCAAACTGGAATATGGATGTGCCCAAGTGGGCATAGATGAAAAATGGATTGCCATCCTTCAACCCACGACAAGAAAGAAATAAGGCAAAAACTGACACACATGCACATTGTCTCAAACTGGTAACTAATTTTTTATTTCAAAACCTTTTTTTTTTCATACAGGTCGATACCAGCTAGCACTGAGGTCAACCAAGGAATGGACCCAAAGCTTTATTACCCCAAAACATAACCACAAAAGAAGCACCTCTGGCCACATTCTGAGCTTGACGACTAACTTCACCAAGTCCCAGTCTTCAAACCCAGAAACTTCCTCACCCAAGGACAAGGAAAGTTGGCTGACATATTTTCCAGGGCTTGCAAATCACTTTTTTTTTCTCTCAAAAGTCTACCGTAACAATCTTTTCTAAGTTATAAAATTCTGACATTCCGTATTAATGAATGCAACAGCTGGTGAACCAAACAACACTCGGTGACAGCTTTTCTTGGCAATGCAGTGGAAGTTGAGGAGAGCCCGCGCACAGCCTTTTCCAGCACTCAAAATGGGATAGGGAACGCATGTCTGTACCCTCCACTGCATTGCCAAGAAAAGTCGCCGAGTATAGGAGTAAATTCTGGTCTTGCTAAAAAGGAGGGTTGCACACGAGACTTTTGAAAGGAATAATGGGTATTGCAAGCTCTTGAAGATGTGTTGGCCTATCCTCCTTGTCCCTGTGCGGGGAAGTTCCTGGGCTTGAAGAATGAGGTTTTGTAAAGTTAGTCATCAAGGTGAGGCTATAGTCAGGTGTTCTTTCATTCCTTTGTTGACTTTAGGAAGGAGGTTGCTACAAACAGTAAGGAGGTACTAATCTGTATGTAAAAGCAAGGTTGTAAAATGAATTAGCAATATTCAACTCTAAAGGATTGCAGGACTGTAGTAAGGCAAGAAGCGCCTATCAGAAAGCATGTGGTCCCATTATTACTTAGAAGCACTTATATCCGTACAACACAGTAAAAACAACAACACAGAAAAACACATTGACTGCAGGTTCTGCAAATGCTGCACTGCAAATAGCTTTTACATTGGTTTTGATTTCTATGTCCTACGCCGTTATCTTTGATGGCGAAAAGTACCTCAGCTCGACTTACCTGATAAAGAATGTGCCGAGTTCAAGACGGTCTGTGTGTATGTCCATTTTCTTTAATTCCTTTCTGTGTCTCGGGTTGCAGTATGGAAGACATTCACAGCTTGCCTGCGTTTTTGCCCTTTTATCATTAAGAATGGATTACGTATAAATAAGAATGCTCCCATTGACAAACACAACAAACTAAACCTTAAATACTTACCATGACCGAAGGTACGCTAAAATAAGCAACATATTGGAGAAAAATGCTGCCAAAATAGCAATATAAACTTTTTGTCAACAAGGAAATATTTTTAGTTCAATAATATCAAGTTCTTTCTCAGAGTGTGGTATATCCACAGTAATAAAAGTATTGTCTGGAGGGCCTTTGGCAACTGGGAGCAAGGTGGCTCCAGAGGGACCAACATATATCTGTGAAGGCACAACCGCTAGTTAGTTTAAGGCCACCCTGCAATTGCCTCTTTCAATTTTTTCACCCAAGACAATTCACCACAACATGGCAAATTTCTAGATATCTAAGACTCTCCAGTGCTTGTAGCCAGCAAATTATCAACAATGTGGCTGTCATACTGCATTGGAAAAAGATATGGTCCCATAAAATACACTTCTAGCCTATAGTATTCCCCGAGGGTGCCCTGAGAGCATCTCTTCCCACACATTTTTGAGTTCATGCTCACTATCGGTCTGCTCCCCTATTAAACTTTGTGTAATCAACTGTTCTCTCCTCCCCTTTGATCAGTGTTTAGGAGAATTACCACGTGAATTTTAGAAATACTAAAACAATTCAGAAGATCTTCCTTTAATGCCATCATCTTGTCTTGTTATCCTTCCAGGAAAATGATGAAATCAAAAAGCTCTGTCAGCACTTCAAGTACCTGCAAGCCTCCGACACCGTTTTTACCAAACACCTGACCTCGTTGCGTGGTCAGATCAAGACAGACGAGGATGCTGACCATGCTGCCGAATGCATCTATGATCTCGGTCAGCTGGGCCCAGATCAGGCTGAGGTGGCCAGCGTGATTGCGGTGCAGTTGGCGGATTTGGAAGTTGGAAGCTCCAAGCTGAGGTCCAAGATCCTGTCACGAATGCAGACAGACTTTGAAGGTGACGACTTTCGTTCTCAGATTTCATGAAAGTAGAACACTTGGCAAGCTTGAGTCTGATCATTTTTAAATAGCTGTTTGTGCTGGAGCCAAGACAATGTTCTACCGGTTTGAAAGCTCGTGGACATTTTGACTGCCAATCGCTATATCAGGTACCCTTTCCCTAGCCATCCTAAATCTTTTTGACAATTCTGAATGAATGAACAAAGGTGAACATGCTGTTCATCCGTCAAATATTTTAGAAAAATCAATTTATTCTCTTGACCTTTTTTTTTTATTTAGTTCAATTATTGCCAATTTTTGCAGGTTATTGCAGGAGAGGATACAATAACATTTACAAAGATACATGACACACTAAGTTATACATTGAATCATTCTAATTACTCTGCTGCAATAATAAAAAAAAGAATCAAGAAGGAAACATAATTACTACTTGTCAGAAAACTAATCCAGCAATTTTTTTTCAAATGCTTTGATAGAAAAGATATCAATCTGTTGTCTGTTGGTCATCTTTAACGAGGTACTGAAATGAAATTCTAGTGCCTCTTTTAGTGTCTATATGTCAACTATGTTGTGTCGACACAACAAAGGCACTAATTTTTTGTTCAGAAGGACACCAGAACTTTGTTTAAAACTATTAGCAAAGTTCACCTGGTGTATGTTCCTGACACTACCGTATTTACATGAATGTAGGTCAACCCTTTTTTCAATTTTTGAAAATCTGAAGTGGGGGGTCGACTTATAATCGAACCAAAGCATTCCACCGCCGGCAAAAACGAAACAATCGCAATATCATGAACACCCCGGCTTGTTACGAGTTCAGCCACTGTACCTCTAGCATTGCACTATTGTATGTGCTCATTGTACAAATTAATTATTTCTTTATTTGCGCAAATGAGTATTATTGATAGCGATTTGCAAACTAGCCCGAATACACCGCGGTGAACAGCGCACGGTGCGCCCGACTCCCGGGGGGTGGCGGCACTTCTTGTAAGAGCCACTCCGGAGGCCGCTGGAACAGCCTCACGGCTCACTCACCCCGCGGCCACCGCGGCTTCTCTTCGCAGTTTTTCGGTTTTTCGCACGGTTCACGGTCACGCATCGTTTGATAGAGTCGAGATCATGCTGGAGCACTAACTATGTTTTTTTGTATTGACATGTGTCATCCGGTAAGTTTAGGTTTTTGGCGGTCGTTTATGGCCATTCTTCACTCAGAAGCAACCAACAACTACGCTGTTGGACGCAAGTTCGACTCGTTGGAGCGGGTGATGCTCCAGTGGAGTCTGCAGTGGCGCGGGATCTTAAACGGTGACGGCAACCGAAGAGCCTTCTGTAGGCTAAAGTCGGGATAGGTAAGGATGCCTTCCGGAGTTGGAGGTCAGGCTTGCAACGTACGCCGCAAAAGTGCGCAATCGGTCCCTACCCGTGACGTCCAACGCAATCGCCGAGCAAGCGCGGACGATGCGGTTCATCCTGTCATTTGCGAAGTGCGAGATTTCGCAGGACGACGCCGACGATGTGCTTCGAAAATGTAGTAGTGATGAAGACAGGACTGACATCACCAGTGCGGACGAGTCATAGTCTAGTCACGGACGGAGTAAGAACTACAGGGAGCAGCTTCAGTTGTCCCGCTTTCAGCGTGACCTTCCTAGTTTCGATAACGCCTGGCCATCTCATGCACCTCGTGCGTGCATGCGCAGCCAAAGCAGGCCAGAAAGCAGCGATCGCGTGTTGGAGGCTGGGCTTTCGGAACAGGTACTTTGCCGTTCTCACGTGTTCGCTGTAAAATGTGCATCTAAAGCTTTTTTTTTTTTTTATGTGCAATATGGGGGGTCAACTTACAATCGTTTAAATACGGTACTTGGAATGTCAACACGTTGACCTTCCTCAATAAAGCAGCGCTGCTCCGCGGTAGTATGGCTCCGAGCACGTGTAGGGTGTCAAACTTGGCTAAACCAGATTTCCCTTCTCCCCCGTGCCCATTCAACTTCTGTGGCTGGGGAATAGAAAGGAAGATGGGGAGAGGAGGGGAGGCCAAGAGGAGGAGGAGTTAGTGTAGTTTTGGGGCGCACGTGACTCACTTCGTCTGCGCACATGTCTACGTGTCGTCCAACCAGTTCTCGGGAATATCAACCTGCTAGGTTGAGTTGCACTGATGCGGCAAAGTGGCGAAGCTCTTAAGCATGTCAGGCTCGCTGTAGCCTTGCCCATGAAAGGAAACGTTGACGCCACGAACGCGCTGAAGGCACCAGATCTCACAAGATGCATCGCGCTCTTCGACGGCTGCTCTTCGAGCGCTTGCTAAGATCGGCTATTTAGAACAAAAAATATAGCCATTTGTTCAAGATATAAGTGTGCAATTATCTTTAGCAGATATTGTTGATCATGTCTACCTTATTTCGGAACGTGAGAGGTATATTTTAATTTTTATTTCAATAACCCTTTAATGTCCCTCATCTCTCATTCAGGATTTGAATCACATATTACAGAAAATGTATTTATTTTGTCTACTGATCATTTCTAATGTCCCTCATTACTCACAGAACAGTGAGCACCTTGCAAAGTGGCTTTACTGTGATGTACAAAGAAATCTTAGTACATTACAAGATCCAGAGAATGTTCAAATGTGATAGTAAGATCTATGTATTGATATGGTGCAGACTATGTTTAATTCAAAGATCTGTCTTCGTCTAATCACAGAAAAGAATTGGTCAGTGTACAGGTGTACTATCCTGCATAAATTTCTGTTGAACTAGGTATGTGTGGGTGGCACAAGAAATTTAAATGGGGGGGGGGGGGGGGGGGGGGGAGGAAGGAAGGGAGGGGAGGGGAGGGGAGTGGGGGTGGGGGTTTGCACTTTGCCAACGCACATGATAGTCACGTGAACTTCCCGTGCCGCAGAGGATGCGAGCTAGACCGCTGTTCAGAGCGATGAGCAAAGATTGTGGAATCACGGCTGCCGAAGAGGCGTCTATTGCAATTTCAGACAGGAGTGTGTCGCGTTGAAGTGAGCAAGCCAGCAGATGAGAAATTGCTGCAGAAACCACTAGTGTTGGTTGTCTATGAATTACGATAGCATTCGTCTAGGACAACCTCAAGGACGACAACTAAGACGACGTCCTAGAAGATGACATCAAAGACGTTGTGGTTCTCCTTAGGGCCACTGCTTTGAGGAGTACCACGTTCGCGACGAGACGCTCTACCGCGAAGCGGGTTCGTACTCGCATGGCATGCTGCTCGTAGAGTGCAATCAGACACCAGTCTCGTTGGTCACGGTGATAATCTCTGTTTATTTACCATACAAAGCAAATAACAAGAAGACAGTGGCTATCAGCTGGTGAACGCCGTTGGTGTGGAGATCGCCCACGGCCGAACGGTCATTCACAAAGGTACAAGGGACGGGGTAAACGCTCATTGGTGCGCCGGACAGTTCCCCTTTGTCGCCGCCGCCGAATCCCAGGAAGAAGAGAGCCGAGATCTCGCTGACCACTGGCTTTAAGATAACCGCGGGGGCGAAGGGACCAATCAAGGAGCGACACATCGATCTCCTTTCTGCGGGGGTTCGTAACAAAAATCGCCCCAAAGGGGGAGAGGAGGAAGCCACTCACTGTGGTGATCAGCGCCACCTCTCGCTACGTCAGCGCGCCAAAACACTGACGGAACAGAATGTTGAGGGATCACAATCCCCACAACATCTAGGACGGACGACCTCTAGGGCGATCTCAAGGACAACCTCTAGGGCAATCTTAAGGACAACGTCGAGGATGATGCCCTAGAGGACGACTACTACGATAACTAGGGATGCTGCAAAGCACCCTAAGTTCGATTTCGAAAGGTTTCAATATTTTCGAACCGAACTGGATGTTCGATTTCGAAAGGTTTCGATATTTTCAAACCGAACTGGGTGTTCGATTTCGAAAGGTTTCAATATTTTCGACCGTAGTGAGGTTTGAATTCGAAAAATTCGCAACTTTCCAAAAGCGTGGGGTTTCGATTTCGAAAAGTTTGAAGCTTTCACGGTTTCTAAAAGTTCGGGTTCAAATATTTGTTTACTTGAGGTTCGACAAATTCGAAGATTTCGAACTTCCCTAATTTGAAATTCAAGAGATTCGAATGTTTCGAATTTCTTTGGATCTAAAATTCGAACGTTTCGAATTTTTAAAGACATAAAGTTCGATTAATTCAAAGGTTTTGAATTTCTTTCTACATAAATTTTGAAGGTTTCGATTCTCTTTTAAAGCTAAATTCCCCCCCAAAAAAAAAAAAAAATCTTCGAAGGTTTCTGATTTTTTTGAAGTCCAAGTGTGCAAAGTTCGAAGTCCGGTTTTCATGTTCCGCCACAGTTTCAGTTTCAAATAATGTTTTCACGCCTCACTGGTTTTCACGAAATCAGGTTTAGAACAGTTTGGTTGTGATATTTAGACTGCGCGAAGTTGGTCAGGCAATTAAATGGAGACGACGAGTGCCCCGGATGTGCTGGAATATTTGCCAGTGCAGTGACCTGTAACAATAGATCAGTAATTGTGACCGCAAGCCCGGGGTGGTCATTAATGTGCATTACGGAGTAGTGATCCTACAAACGCACTGTTTAACAATACTCATCAAGTTCGAAACGGCCAGGGGTGGGCAGGAGGTTGAGGCTCATAAAAACCTTGAAGCGACCTGGCAAACTGCCCCCCTACCCCCTTGCACGCTGGTAGTAGTCTGATCGAACGCCGCCCGAGTGACGCTGGCATATAGTAAGTTTAGTTTGTACATGATGCAAAATCCTGAGACTGGGAATGAAATTTGAAAGAAAAAGTGTAAGAAGACAGAAAAAAAGGGGACTGGACAACGTCTCAAACTCAACTCAGCTGAAAACTCAGCTCAGGACAAAGTCTCAAACTCAACTCAGCTGAGTTTGAGACGTTGTCCTGTCCCCTTTTTTCTTTCTTCTTACACTATTTCTTGCAAATTTCATTCCCAGTCTCGGGATTTTGCATCATGATCAACATACACCAGCTCGCCTGTTTTATTTTCTGGGGCGAAAGAAACGCCGAGCAAAAAGCACAGAAGCTGACGCAACTTGAGGTCGAGGAGCGTTCTACCATACCAGTGGCGTCGGAAGAGCAGTGATGTGATTGCTGCGCCATTTGCGCCAAACTGCGCCAAGGGGCGAACCCTGCTACATCCTGCTACATTTTGCCAAAATATGGGTGAACTGCGCCAAGCCTGCGCCAAAAGATGAATTTTGGTCGTCTTTCAAAACCGAAACTAAACTGAGTACCGTAACTTAGCATGCATGAGCTAGGTAGCGCAAGCGGCCGCCCAACAAAAAGTACCCTGTATCAATCGTCCATCCGGTATAGTTTTTCCCGCCACCTCTCGTTTCACGCGCTCGTCGTTCATGTGTCTCGTCTACACCGTGGTCTCGTCTCGCGTCTTTTTAAAAACAATTTCAACGATAGACGTGGGCGTGTGTTGACGCTTCAGTGCTTCAGTCGTTGTACAAAGCGCTCCAAGTACATTTTTGACCCTGACTCGCGATGTATTGTTTTGACCTGACTCGTTCAGGTTCTTTTTCTCTGTGTGTTTAGCTTGTACCTCGCCTGCCAGCCTGGCAAGCACTTGCCGCTGGACTGTTTTTTGTCGTATGCTGGACAATTCCATTTTTCATACAATTTTGGGAACCAGTTGGCGACGGAGCGGAGTGGCATGGTGTCTGTTTCGATCGAACAGCCATCTCCGCTCGCGCGACGAAGCACGTGCAAATGCAAGCCTGCCGAAGTTGCCCTCATGTGCATGCGAACATGACTGCACGACAGAGGCACCAGCCGGGACACTTGCAACCCATTGTTTTACGTTTGCTTACTTTTGACGAAAATCTGGCACGTCAAGAACCAGTTAAACGGTGGCAAGCCGTTTTTCGGAATCGCTCGGCAACGGCCACAGCACTGTTCACTTGTGGGATGTCTCAATGTCTCTTTGGAGACATTGAAAGTGGGAATTCATTACTAGTTAAAGGCAAAGCGAGGCTTGCAGCAGCCTTGTACTAAAAAGTTTCGAAAAGAAAAAAGAAAAGCTCCTTTGTCTTGTGTACAATTTCGCATTACACTGCAGCAGTTACGTGTTTCATCAGTCGGAGACTGCTTCCATTTATTATATAACTACGGTAGGTCAACCTACTAGCATATTTACTAATAGACCAGCTTATTTACTAATAACGTGTTCATTTTCAATAAAATTTTAATATGTGCAGTTTGGTTCTTATTTATCAATAGCGGTACATATATATGTATAATTTAACTGAAGCATTGCAAAATGTGTCATGTCATTGGCATTTCAGTTACATGTTGAAAGACACCCAGGTGGTTGAACTTGACCATAATTTGTTTATCGCGGCGAGTGAAGTGCCCTTTCTTCGTCCAGCACTTAAAACAAATATTTTTATTTTTCTAAGGATATCTGCTCCAAAAACCACTTTTGCTGCTCCGAAACACTGTTCTGGCTGCTCCAAATGCAACTTTTGTTGCTCCAAAACACTCTTCTACCTGCTCCAAAGGCCACTTTTGCTGCTCCAAAACACCGTTTTGGCTGCTCCAAAAGGTGCTCCAAAACGGCTTCGGCCAATCACATCACTGGAAGAGGAAAAACGAGGGGGGGGCTCCAGTCTCTCCCTCCCCCCCCCCCCCCCCCCCCCCCAGATATTTCGGACTGTTAAAGAAAACAATACGGGGAAAGAGGGCATGGTCGAGCTTATTTCAATCTGAAATTATTTCTGCATATGTATAGCTACTGTCGCTCTTCACTGCATAAAAGATCGCGTAGATGGTCATTGTTAAGGTCGGTTCTCACATGCAGTGAAGCGCTGATGTAACACGGCTCACGTGCCTTCAGGTACTTATCGTATGCCATGAGCAACAGTTTTGACGGTGTGATACAAAGTGTGATAGTGCCGACGGGAGCTGGTGAACGCTCCCGTCGGCACGTGCTTAACACGAGGTCAGCGCTATGCTTGTTGCGCTCCGCTGCATGTGTTAACAGGCCTTTAGAAACTCGTTGTCAGGAGGCACTACTCGTCACATCCTCGGTGGCTCGAAAGTTCAAAGCTATGTCTTTTCGACCTAAATAACTGTGCCATTGGTAAAAAATAATCAATAAATAAACATAACAATAAATGCAAAAATAAAAAGCTGGAGAAAAAGAAACTATCAAGAACCCGCCGGAAGTGTTGTATTCTTGCATATTCAGAGGCCCAGAACTATGAAACAAGTTTCTCCTACCAAAATGTGTACAGGCCAAAAGAAACACGTCCCAAAAACGTAAAATAAGAAAAAAACTTTTTTTTTTTTATGACGCGCTGAATTTGAACAATTTTAGAAATCTTTTTCCATGAGGTAATTTATTCCTCAACGGAAAAAAAGCAATAAATACATTATTTTGTAATTTGCAGATGGTAATGATGTGTACTGTCTCTGGTGTTAATTTAAATGTGATACCCCAAACAATGTAGGCAACAGAAATTACCAAGTTTAGGGCATAATTGTCCGTAGGTACATGTTTGGATATTGATTCGAAACTCGTCTTGAACAACAATAATCATATCTTAAGACGACACTCACCTAGGCTATGTATAGATCATTCTTAAAAAGTTTAACATTATTGATTCATTATTGATTGGTTATTGATTCGAAACTCATCTTGAACAACAATAATCATATCTTAAGACGACACTCACCTAGGCTATATATAGATCATTCTTAAAAAGTTTAACATCTCTACCATAAACAGCTTTGGCTATAGACGATTGCAAGCTGGGCGACTGGCCACCGCCATGTCTCTGCTCGAGCAGGCACGCCCGTGCGATTACGAGCGTGCCAAAGCTACGTTCACCCGCGCCTTGCACGCGCTTGCACGCATGGGACACCACTTGTGGCGCCATGCTTGCAATTGTCTATAGCGCGCTTCAAATATGGCACAAACGACAATTGTCAAAAACCCGTCGTCCTTCCTCACTCCTTCGGGAATCTATTTTTCTAAAACCAAGCATGCCAGATGATTGAAATAAACGGCATTGTCTTTCGCCGGGAAGGCGGCACCTCGTGTAAAATTGCGAAGAAAAAAAATTATGAATGTATCTCACTGCTTGAATCCAAATGAAACCGCCTGCCGGTCTTTCGAAGTTCAGTGAACATCGAACTATTACCCTAAAAGTTTGAAGTTCGTCGAACTTTTGACTTTTCAGGAATCGAGAGTTCGACGGTTTTCGAATTCTTTAGATTAATAAGTTCGAAAATCATTTAATTTCTTAGCGTAGGAAGTTCGAAAAGGTTAGAACTTTTTAGTGCAAGAAGTTCGTAAGTTCGAAAATCATAGAATTTTTTAGTGTATCAAGTTCGAAAGTTCGACAAGCCTCGAATTTTGCAGCGTAATAAGTTCGAAAATTCGAAAAGCGTCGAACTTCTTAGTTTAATAAGTTCGAAAATTCGAAATCTTTCGAACCTGTCGAATCGCTTGATTCGATCATCGAAACTTCGATTCGAAAAAAGTTTGCGGCATCCCTAACGATGACCTCTAGGACAACTTCTAGGATGACCCCAAGGATGACATCTAGGACAACATCAAGGTCATCAGGTCTTTCGAAGAGGGTGCGAATGCAAAAAAGTGTAAGAATGTGAGCTGAAAAAAAAAAAAAAAAAATTAGGAGGCCAGAAAGTTCAAGAAATCTGGGAGGGAGAGGGGGGGGGGGGGGGGGGGGGGGCAGGGCAGGGTTAGCTAAAGAATGCAATCACATTAAAAGGATGCACATGCGCGGTTCTCGGCAGCAGGCACGGTACACCGTCGGGCGGGTGCTGCGAAGCAAATCGGTCGGCGCTCCGGATTTATTTGTGTGACGCCACTTTCGTGACATCGATCTCCCAACTTTGCACCCCTTTCTAAGTGCAGAGAAAGACATAGTTCTATGTCAAAAGAGTAAACAGAGTATCGATATCCTCGCTGTTTGTGCCTAAAGGAAGAATTTGGACGTCGGACCCTGTTCGCAGCTCCAATGCCCTATAGATGGCAGGGTGGTGGTCACAAGATGGTAGAAGAGACGGGTATAGATTCTTTAGAATTTTCTCTTGCACCTGTTCGCTGCCGTTGGTTTTGGTCAAAAGTTGCGAAGCGGAACAAAACAATTCCTATTTTAATGCACTCGCTGTTTCTGTTAAAACTGCACGATGCGTGAACGCATTGACCAGAACCATGAGGTAACAGCAGCCGCAACACCGATAGTCCCGTCTCTGCCACCGTCCCACTCCTCTGGTTTTTCGTTCGTCCGCAAGAGGGCAAACAGTGAGCTGCGGTTGCGAACAACTTGGGGCCATATTTAGCTCATCCCTGTTGTTCATTGCTTGTGATTTTATTGCCTCCATTCTTTGTTGTTATTGCTATCAAATAAGCAGAGGCGAGGTGTTTACCAACCCCTTATAGTGCCACTTGTTTTGCTTTTACAGGATTTGAAGAGAAGGCCAAATCGTCTCCGAACAGTGTCCTGTGCAGTACTATATTCCTCTGCGAGTTCTACAGCCGCTACCTGATCAACGGACTTCCCTTGAAGCCTCTTCGGGTGCCAGTCTGGAAGTGCCTCGAGTATATGCTGCAAAGCCGGGAGCAGTATTTCACAAAGCACTGCCTGAGATTGGTAAGCAAGCCACTTTGCCAATGCTGTACTTGCGAAGGACGGAATGCATGTGCGAAAGATCTCTCTAAATTTGGAATATGCGGAATTCTTTCTGCTGTGTTTTCCAGAAGTAAGGGTATTTACAGCTCGTGTACCATAATATTGTTTTGTTAGATGCACTTTTGCAATTTCTGAGCCATGTGGGAAACAATTTTTGAATGGTGTGGAACTGTTTTGTCGTGATCCGAATTTCGTGCAATTCTTAGGGGATTTTTTGTTGATATGTTCTAGCCTTTACTCTAAACAGAGAGAATCATTTTTTTTAGCATGCTCACTCGATTAGAGTCAGCGGTGCATCCAAAAAATTTGTAGGGGGAGGGGGGCTAGGGAGTGAACCATGAAAAATGGCTAACTCCTTAGGTTTATGTAGGTTTGACTAAGTGGGGAGGGTTGTGAATTCCTTGGCTACCCCCTGGGTTCAACTGTGAGCTCTCCCCGACATCCCTGCTCCTGCTAACCCTAACCAAGTGGGCTGTAATTTCACTAGCCGTAGCCTCCACAGGCACAATCTTGGAAACACAGATGAAAGTTCAGTTGTCACCTGGGCATGTTATCGGTAGCTGTAATACACAAAGGCATGAGGTTCTTACTGATACAAGCAGGAACTTGACCGTATTTGATTTTTGCTGGAAATAAGTAATAGACAGTCAACTCTGGATAATTCGAAGCTCACAGGGACAGCAAAATGCTTCAAAATAAACATATTTGAATTTAAAAAAAAACATTCAATCTGTTAATTTTTTATTTGGTACTACTCACCAGAAGAACTTGATTTTTGCTTGCCTCAGCTAAGAGAGATGTGCGGTATTCTGCCAACAAAGGTGTGCAGTGTTAAATATGCTCTGGAAATTGCAAACCCTTCTTATGGTGCCTGCAGCAGTTTTTTTGCCAAAGAAATCATCAGCGGCACTCTGCCACTCAGCGCAAAAAGCAATGTGATCATTCCTTGGCTTAACCACTTGCATAATGTCACTGTCCAAAAGTGGAATACAGACCACGGCATCTTTCTTGACATCAATATGTTCGATAGACAAAACATATCGTAGGATTGGGTAATGCCTCAAACCAAGCTTTGTTGGTCGTACGTGCCGTGCGGCCGCGCTCGCTTCTGTAACTTTTGTGAGAACAATGCCATGATGCGTGCGCCCACAACCATGCTGGCTTCGCTTCGCTTGGCGTGGCTTGGCTGCTTAATTGGCTTGGCCACCTTGCAGTTTATTCGCACGCTGTGCTCGATCCCTCTTTATCTCGACCGTGCAAACTGTAGATAAAGCATTAAAGTGTGCACAGGTGCAATTTAAACTTCGTCAGCATAATTGCAAAGCTTTTTCATGCTCTTAGAGTTGCCGGGATTCTCGATCACGTTAACAAATCCTTCGAATTAGCCAGTTGCAAAGGTTAACCTTCGAATTACTGCTCATTTTCTTCCATAGACTCGTATGTATAATTGCTTGGACCACACCCCTGCTTCGAACTAACCGAAAAGTGGAATAAAGAAACTGAATTATCGAGAGTCGACTGTACATTAGGAGTATATTGGCAAGCAAGTTTGACTGTGGCATGGTTCAAAACCCTCAGACTTGGGAAGAGACTGAAAAATGGGCACTGTAACACAAAGTTTGCACTTTATTTTTACCTCTCCAATCTCAGGATTCTGAGCAATGAAGTTTCTTCGCTATTTGATCGCAGTTCGGTTCAAGTTATTGGAATGTTTATTGACATCACAGTTCAACTTATAGGGGTGTTCTTTTCTTTCAGATCAGAGCCAAGGGAGCCTTTCTGATGAAGCACAACCCTGACGAAGTTGAGGCATTCCTCGTTCACCTGCGGGACCTCATCTTGGAAGGGGCTGTGGAGAAAACAACACGATCCTTAGCCCTTGAGACACTTGAATTCATCTTGAGGGACCTGATGCCTCTCAAGACAAAGAACTCCCCACCCCCCTTATGAGTCCTCCCAAGTAAATTCTGCTGAATCATTTTAAGAAGGTATGTCACCACAGTTGGAGACGTGACTACTAGTTCACTTAAGTGAAGAGTAAACGGGTAAAACTGCCCCCCAGAATAATGGCTCTGAAAATCCTGTTGTCTTCCTTTCACAGCACTGTAAGTTGAAATGTTTACTGTTATATCAGGGCAGTTTCATTCAGTTTCAGGCAGTAAGGTACATTATAATTCTCTATTTTTTTTATCATACTTTTATATGTCATATTGCATAGAGTGCATAAAAAAAAGTATTTTTAATTTACATGATTTTACATGCTTCGTTTTAAAGAAATAAAATCCTGAAGGAGTGGGGAAGGATTAAGATATTTTGACAATTTCCGTGTGTGCCATATTTGAATCTCACTCTCTCCAAAACCATTCATGGTAGAGATGTGAATCTTTTTCAGAATGATCTGTGTCTAGCATACGTCAGTGTTGTCCTGCGATACAATTTTTGTTATTCACAATGAGTTTTGAAAAATATGCCAAAACATGGGTCTATAGACAATTATGCCCTAAACTTGGTCATTTTTTTTTTTTTTTTCGAGTAGAGTTTTTGAAGTATCACATATAATTTAACACCATGGAGATTAGGTATCATTGCTCTGTACATAATATAAAATTAATCTATTTATTGCTTTTTCATATTAAGAAATAAATTACCTCAGGGAACATTTAAAAATTATTTTAAGTTTAGATTATCATTAAAACAAAAGCCTTTTTTTTTTTTCTTATTTGTTTTACATTTTTGGGGCATATTTCTGTTAACCCACACACGTTTTATTAGGAGTAAAACCTTTTTTTCGAAGTCTTGAGCCTCCGAATATGCAACAGAACCACATTCCCCACGGGTTCTTAATGTTGTAATTTTTGGTATCTGTTAAACTTGTCAACTCCAGTTTTCTTCTTTTTTTTTTTCTTTTCTTTTTATTTGCACAGTTATCTCGCTTTAAAAATTAGCTTCGGGCTTGTGAAGCACTAAACAGTCAATGAGTAGTGCTTTCTGATGGCAAGATTTATGTGACTTAAGCACTCCGTTTATTGTCAATGTTTTATGTTGCAAAAAGTTGCAGTGAGCACGTTCCTGAACGTATGAAGCCGGCCATGTCACGTCGGCGCAAGCGGCTTCTTGTGTCTGCCCTTATTACTGCAGGGGGTCATTTTTCTACTTTGCCAACGGCTGGAACATATACTTTGTCACGACAAAGGTCCTCTGGACACATTCCTGTCAGATCCACCGAAAGATTTAGAAAAATCGGAAGCCGAACCACATTTATAAGAGCAGAATCCTCGGTGCCCGGCTACTTCCGCAAGCGAGAATCGAGATGGTCCCATTATGACATAGTGGTGCGTCTCACGTGACTAGCCAAAGGCAGGCCGCTGTGGCGATCGCTTGTGTTTTCTTAGCTTTTTTTCATGTTTACTGATTATTTGGGTCAAACAGTTGCTATATTTGGGGTCGGCAGGCACAAACACGTCACAATCAACCATTAACTAATTTTTTTCGAAAAGCTCTTCAGCTTCCCTTTAAAAATAGGTTTCAGTTCCACAAAATGGGTGAAAACAACATGCTATTACGTTGGCTGTTCTCTGCAAGTGGGCATGGAAAGAGCGCCTGCAACAGTATTGGTGATCTTCTGAAGCAAGCATCGTGCAACATTGCACAACATCTGAAAGCCTCAGAATGCTGCAATCCTCACCTCTAGGGACTTCCTGTCTGTTCTCACTGGAAAGCATGGCAAGACGCGGATTATTGACCTGCCTGCCGAGGACCTTACAAGGTTTGAGAAGTAATAAAAAAGGTGGGAAAATATTCGCCAAAAACTTGGACTTGGTTCTTGCCAAGTTTGGTTCAAGCAATCATTGGATGTCTCCACTGGAAAAAGGGTGCAGACAGTGAGGACTGTTGAAGAACCTGTTCCTTAAGGGGCACTCGCTCGCTACCCTCACATCTGCTCTTTCTCATAGATGGCGCTGGAGTTCGGCCGGAGAAAGTAAAAACACGCAAGAAAAGAGGGGTGGGGACAAAGTGACAGACAACCAGTCTAACCAATCCTCGCCACTTCGGCTGTGACGACTTGAAACGTGGTTGTGCGAACAGGGGAGGAAAGAAGGGTAGGGGGCACTCTCCCGCAATCATCTTTCGGCGACCTTCTGGCATTGTCGGAAGGCACGGAGGATTGGGGACATGAGTCGGGGGCTTTTTTGAGGGAACGAAGCGGCCTACCCTCCTTCTTCACGTGAGCCTTGTCGACTTTTTGCATTAAGGGGGGAAAGAAGGCCCTAGAATGTGCTAGTTTGTGGGGCCACTGGTGTGGCTAGTGATGCCAACTTTATAGATTTATCTCTTGACCTAATTATTTTTCTTGTTTTTTTGCTCTCACTTTGTCATCTAAAGGCTGGTCTGCAGACGTAAAAAGCCAGCAGAAAGGGGTATTCGCTTCACTGTGGACAATGCCAAGTGCGGTTTAGTGAGATCGCTGAGTTTTCTAACATAGACTATAGTGCAAACGGCTTTTGTGGTCTGGTATTTAGGATGTGGCCAGCAAGCAGGCAAACGTCACAAAACAGCACCCTTGTGGCCAACAGGTCGCACAACCTCGCAGGGCACTGTGGCGTTTCATTATTCTCGAAAGACAACTATATAGCTTTAAACGAGCCCCGAAGCAATCGTATCAATAAGTTATTGATCTGGGATATTTGTTTTGATTATTTTTGAATACACGGGAGAAATATGGCCAAGTATGCTTGCAATGATCTCAAATTATCAACAAGACAACGCCTGAACTTATCGCCCCTTTGCATTTCCGCAAGGACTGGAAAGACGGCAACTGCGTAGCCGGAAATACTCTGACTGGAACCTCAGAATATAGAAAGGGGTTCTGCCTTCTGAGTTCTCGTGATGTCGGGATGCTCCAAATATTTACTCGTGCACCCCAAAAAGTGTTCTGTAATGTCATTTTCAAATGTATTGTGTTTGTCGTCGTCCTCATTCTGTGGACGATAAAGGGGAAAAGAGGAGTGTACATCCGAGCACTTCTGAGAAGTCAGGTGGGGTGGCGCCAGATGTGTTGCGGCTTTCAGGCCCGGAGGAAGAATGCGGCTGAGTCCATCATGGCTTATTTGGTTTGTAGTCAGCTAGGCCTGTCTCGGCGGGCAGCGTCTGGGGGATCCAAAAAGGGGCACTTGCTCCTCAAACTAGATTATCCTGTGCCCCCGACCCCATCCGGTATACGCGATCGCTAGGCATCTTGATTCTTGTAATGTGTCGTTTTAAATGCACGGGACCTAATTTTGAAAACTGAGCTCATACTTTTACGACTGCCTGCAAATTGACAGGATAATTGTGGCATGTGGCGTCGGCTGTCGAATCAGTTCAAGACTGACATTCTCTGGACAGCGTCTGGTCATGCTGAGAAATACCATGGGAGTATCCCATTTTTACTAGGTATCTTTGTGGGTACAGGATTTTGTACAAGGCGCATGTAATTTCTTTTTCCTCCAGGTCTTCGACAAAAAACAAACGCCGCAAAAAAAATTTTTTTTTTTTTTTTTCTATTGGCACGCGATGAAGGAATTAACTTCCCTCCTGTTTTACGAAGCCCTGCCTGGCCAGTGGCTGTGGAGCAACTAGCCAGCCCGCGGAGACGCGGTCTCTGCTGTGCTCATCTAGGAGAAGAAACGTATGTGTGAAAGGAAGGTGTGCATAATTACGTATCTGGTGAATTTTCAAAATTTACCAAGAAGATTCTGGGGGAAGATCCCAAGCGCGTCATGTCCTGTTTCCTGTATGAAATAATATATGAGAATAACTGATGCAAGGAAACAAAGAACGCAATATTTCTATTTCTTTTGATTCAAGTTTCTCATTATGCGACCCGCTTGTACAAAACAAGCCCTACAAAAGTAGCTATGTCAAAGTTCCAGCTTATGCTCATATAGGTTTGATTGTTAGGTGTTTATTTTTGCTCGCAATCGGCAGACAATTCTTGCGATCTGTTTTTTGCCAAGTTTGTTTTTAATCTGCATTTATTTTATACACCTCCACAGTTTTGGGTATTTTCAGCGCCTTTCATCTTGCAACTTGAGTCACTGGGAATATTTGAACAAAGTATGTAACGCGGCTGTCCTAACTATCGCTAACCAGAGCTGCACGGACCCCAGCGCATCCTCCCCGCACGCCGAAAACCGTAAGCTTCCGTCCGACTTTTAAGACGGCAACTCTGTTTCTAATCGGTGCGGTAGATTGGGCTGCAGGAGCCTCTCTCTTTCCTTTTCCCTCTCCATCTTCGGAAACGTTCGCTCAAGCAATATACAGACACGTTTGAGGGAACACCCGTCTCGTTCCTCACAAGTATACAGGGTGTCCTCGAGCTATCCAACTGTATGTTGGCAGACGTCTTTCCAAAGCACCAGTAGTTTTATTGAGCCTAATAATTTAATTAATTAAATCTAATTAGGCACCTTTCAAAAAATTGATTCAAGAGAGAAGGTGTCAATTGGAAAGTTGTATAGAGCCCTGAGAAACACCGGATAGAAAAAGTTGCTTGTATGCGTGCTTGTGGACATTTCTTGTTGTCTGGCCATGGGAAGTATGACGGACAGGCTATCAAGATGAGCAAACCTAAATATTTCTTTCGTTTTGAGAGTAAACCTTTTCTTAAAAGTGCTATTGAGTGCCTCCCTTGTGTAATTCTTCATTCATGTCCGTAATCGCGTCAAAATAGCCGTCGCCGTCGCCGTGAGTACTTTCAGCTATCACACACGTGCTTCCAGTGCGTAAGCAATCGAATGAATCAGTCACACACCCGTATTTAGCGGGCATGTGGTGCTCATAGTTTTTCTACCAATTCACTATTTACCTTCTTTGTTTGGCACAATATGGCCTAAGTTGCTCTTGTACCATAATGCCCCAAATCATCATCATCATCATCATTACTATTTATGTTGTGACTCACTTTTGTGGGGAGTTTCTTTCTATCTGCACGTGCTTTCTACGAGCGTCCGATCGATGTCTGGTTGTAGTAAACCGTGCTTCCCTGTTCATGCTCTCGAATCGCCGCTTTAAAAAGTTTTGTACTAGAATTGCTCTTTGGCACCAGTTCGTATAAGCTGGAGGTACCTGGTGTCCACCTAACTTTGCAGCAAGCCTGTGTTTTCTGTCCTCATCTATGCGCATTAAACTCGCGTTTGCCTTTTCCATTTTTTTTTTTTTTTAGATATTATTTTGGTGCGCGCATCGGCGCTGATGACTTAGTGGACCAGGGTGGACAAAAATAATGATTAAAAAAGAAAAATCTGATTTATGTGAATTAATACAAATTTTTTATGATTT